CCCCAAAACCCCAAAACCCCGCTTTTCATATTCTTCTGATGGCTGGAATAAAAATAATATTTTTTCATCAACAATTATTCAAAATATTATCGAATCTTATTATCAAAGTATGGAATAACTTATTTTCTTCACAAGATTATCTGGCTTTTAAATACCTTGTGCTTTGACGAAATCTCTTGCCTTTTGAGCAATCAACTACCATTCTGACTTCTTTTTACCAAATTTCTTGGCTAGTATCATCAATGCAACCAATGTCAAAAGAATTTATTCAAAAGCACTCTTATCAGAAATAGCATCCATTATTTCTTGAATGAACACTTAATCAGATTTGATATCTTCCTTAATGAAACTCTAAATCAAATCAATACTTCTCCAATATCCACTGCTCGATTAATCAATTATCAATTCATCTAAGGTGATGGATCGGTTTGGTAAATCTTACTTAGTAATTATATTATAACTAGTGTCTGCTATCAAAATATGTCTAGGACTCTAAATTTTATCCTCCTATTATAGATATTGCTTACTTTCCTCATGTTTTTCATTACTCATAGCTCCTATAATTTCATTATCACACTCCAATACTGCTTTGCCGAGGCAGACAGCTTCAGCTTTATCTAGTTCATTCTTAGCTTCGTATTTATTACAATATTCTTACTCGACTTCGTAATAATTTTAATTCATTTCTAATTTACAGTCTATGTCTGGAGGGTCATATGAGAATTGCTACCAAGAATCATCATCACATTCAGCTCCCTCATCTTGATTAATTGCACAGCAAGTAAAACTTATATCATAGTGAAATCGATCTAAATCTTGATTTGGTAATTTCTCAATTTTGTTCAAAATGGTTGCCTTAAGTTCTCCAAGAGGTTAATCATCATTTTTGCTTACTGCTAAGAAAGAAGTCATTTTGCTCAATACTTAGTACTTTAATGATAATTCCTCAATTTACTTCTCTTTGATAGACTAAAAGTAGTTACTTTTTGAACTTAATATATCTTAGCTTATCTGATTAATTTTCATTCTTGCTGCTATCTTAAAGAGCTCATCTCCTTTTTCTATTGGAGAGAAATGTTTCTAGTCCCACTCTTAATTTAAGACTTTGTTTTAGATTGGATGAACATCACTAGTTAGTTTTAGTGTAAAACTTTGAAAGAATTTCTTAGGAATTAAAATACATAGCATGAAAACTTCGTTTGAATACAATTCATAGGAATTCTTAGATCTTAATTTATATTTTAGAGTATTAGTTTCAACGATTGGAGTGTGATTAAAGTTAAATTTGCAATTACTGTAAGTAGGATCCTTGGCTCGAGTTAAAGCAGTAATTACCATACTTTTAAGATCTTTGTTTTAGGCAGCCATGCTAAAGGATCCTCTTCCAAGGATTGCACATTTTCTCACAAGTTTAACATCACAATCAAGTCCTACTCCTATTGTATGGATTCTGACATCAAATGGACAAGAGGCAGCTAAATCTAATACTGCTTACCTATTATGTACTTCTCCATCTGTCAACATAAAAATTCTCTTGTTTAAAGTAGTCTTGATATTATTTATTGCGTGGTGTAGAGGCTCATACAGAGAAGTTCCACCCATTTCAGCTTAAAATCTGTTTACTTGATTGATAACTTGATTCAAGGTTTAATCATTGTATTAGAATCCTTCTGGATTGCCTGATAAAGTTCTGAAATCAGATCCAAATGGGATAATCTCAAATTAAGATCCAGGTGGCAATGATTTGAGAAATAAAATCAAAGCCTGGCAAGTGATTGTATTTTTATCCCCACTCATTGATCCACTTTGATCTACTATGAAAATATACATGCAGGCTCCTATACTGATACTTTGAACAGATTAAGGATCTGGCATTTCATCCTCAACAACTTGGAGCTAGGCATTAGAATTAGTATCAGTTGCAGTTTTTTCAATAAAGCTAGGAACAAATGAAAGCATCAGTGCAATTTCATCCGGATGACTGTCTAATTCCTAAGAATATAAGACAGTCTGTTCCATGTCATTGGTTCTAAAGTAATAAACCAATTCATCTTCAAGATTTAATATACTCTGGCCTTCTTTGCTAATTTGAACTCGATGAAGCTTTTCATCAGAATAAGTTGAGTCAATTTTCGATTGACTTGGGTAACTAAGATACGTGATTGGACTTATAGACTAGATATCAAGGTTAAACTGGTAGGTGTACTCGTATGATTGTGAAATAAATGCTGGGAAATAATGAATCGGAACTCTTAAGCAATAAGCACCTGCTTCCATTTTCAAAGTATTTAGGAGTTAGAGGTGAACCTATACTTTTTATCCTGGCAGTAAATTTCCTATTATCAATTTGATTTCTTCTTTTTCTTCCTCTTCTTAGGCAAGAGCAGCAGTGTGACCAGCAGCAATAGCATCATCATATCTTTCCTTAGCTTTTTTCTTTTCAAGAATCTTACCCTCTATGATATTTTCATCTATTTAAACAATCAGTTTTCCAATTCCATAATCCTCTTCAACTGGTACATTTAGAAAGACTTCTAATGGATCTGAACTATCGTTGAAGCATGTTTAAATTATCTCAATCGTAGCTATAGAGTTCATAACTCTCGCATTGACAATTTGATTCTTAAGTGGTATTAAGTATCTTTTATCGTCAACTTTAGCAAAAAGTTGGCAACAAAGCTCAGTTTATAATAATTAGGTTTCCATTCAAAGAATCTTATTTAAAATTATAGAAATTTTACACAGGCAATTCCACTTATAATTTAATATTTAACAGGTAAATCCAATAATAAAATATTATTGATTTCGATTTTAACTATTTCTCATCATATAGTAATATAACTATTAAGGGGTTTTGGGGTTTTGGGGTTTTGGGG